AATAATTATATTAAATTGTTTTAAAAAATTATTTTTAAAATATTTTAAATATATTTTAACAACTTAGAAGTTATTAAGATAACATAAACAAAAAAATATTGTTAATATATTTTTAATATATTTTTAATATATTTTATAATATTTATATTATATTTTAATTTTAAAATATTTTAAAAATATAATAAAAATATTTAATTATATTAAAAACATATTTAGCAAAAATACAAGTTTCTGTAAAGTATTTACTATATCCGTGTTTATCCTACCAAATTTATTCGCAGAGTAATTTAAGAGGCGTTCGTTTTTATCATATTCTTCAGAAAGCACATTAATGAACTCTTGATAATTTTCATCATCATATGCACTTATCGCTTTATTCATGATTTCGTTGAGTTTTTCTCGAATCATTACCAATATCATAATTGCACCTCTTTTAGATATATACAAATTTGCGCGCTTCTTTGCATGCAAAATGATCTCATATGACGTTTGATAACAAATCAAACTACGTTCAGCCTTAACAAATAGTTTAGCAATAATATTATAAATTACATTATTTGAAATCCGAATAATCTCATTATTATTGAAAGAATTATTGGTTTTTATTAAAGCCATTACGTGATTAGGGTCACTCGCTAATTTAATATCAGTATTCGAGTAAGAAGACACGTCTTTCTCCTTCTTTTCTCTCTCTTTTCTTCCACCATAAACTTTATCAAATATTTTTTTTGCTTCATCTAATTCATCTTGCGTAAGACTATATGAATTAAGTTGTATAAAAATTGCTGCAAAAGCATATAATGAGGCTTCTAGAAATTGGTTTGAGAGATATAAACATAAAGCCATGTATCCTCTCAATTTTACCTGTCTTTTTATCAGTTTAGCTTTATCTGCTATTTTGCATGCTGCTCGATATTGATTGTAAGCCAATTCTCCCATAATTATGCACTCACGTTTTAATAATTCTGAAGAGAGTTCTTTGATATCATCTTTCTTTAACACCTTTAGCTTGTGCCAATGTCCTTTTGATGCGTTATAATAATCAATAGTAATTTTCCAAAGTTTATTTCCGTATTTTTCATAGCCCTCTAGTTCTAATGTTTTTTTTAATTTATTCAATAAACGTTCTCTGAACCCGTAAATAAGGTTGAATAACTCGTCGCCTTGACTTTTATGTATTTCTCGAAGCACATATGGACTTTTTGGATTTGTAGTTCTATCTGGGTGAAAACATGAACTAAGAACTCTAGCGCGTCTATTAATCTCTTTTTCTGTATTTATACCATTTTCAAATAATAGTTCTATTTTATTTGAAGAAATTGACAAAAATGAAATAAATTCTTTTCTTTTTGAATATGCTGCATCATGTGCGAATACTTCTAAACATCTCAAATGGTCTATCAACTCTGTACTAACGTTTTTAATTTTTAAAGACTCATTGTCAAGCCCTCTTTCACTATTGCTATTAGTTTTAGAACGATTAACTTTTTATTAATTAAACTATCTGCTAACCTATGAATATAAATCTCGCAATTTATTGTTTCTAAATAACCTTCAAAAGTCCTAGTTACTCCACTAAATCTTTCAAAAATCTCTTGTATCACACTAATAAGTTTATTCACTAAATTAATTTTAATTAATTCATCTAACAGTAAAATTAAGTGGATCTGTTTTATTTCTTCTAAAATTTCTTTACAATTTTGACTGATGGCATTTGATGCTTCCTCGGTACGAGTACTCGTATAACTCTCGTACCTTCTCTCCGACATTTTTTGTTTTTAGCACTTTTTATGCTATCAATCGCTTTTGAATAGTTATGATAAGTTGTATAATATTTTTCACTTGTATAATTGTCGTAGAGTTTCTTACATGAGTCTAATTCACTCAATCGGCTAATCTCTTTCGACTGTGTATCATTCAAGTATACCACATTAATGATCATTACAGGATTAACGCCCTGTCTATTTCTGCATTTCAGTATTAGAGATTATCAGTCGGGTGAACTATATTCGTATTAGACTACATACAGATTGCGATCACCTCACCTCACATGATCCCAATCCTAAGCGATAAAAATTTTCCAATGTTACAATTAACCAGTGACAATAGTCTATGTTTAGTATTTCGTAACGTTAATTGATATATTGTCTCTCTATTTCGGAATGATTTTGAATGTTCGAATTGAAATTTAATTAGGGTACAATATCCATCAATCGAGAAACTATTTTGGTTCTTTTTCTATCATTAAAAAAACTATTGTATCTAGTAGTAAATTTTTTTTTTCTTAACGCTGAAGACAGAATAGTGTTGAGCCTAAATTAATTTTATTTATGGACCTAATATATCCTATTTTACTATCATTATTTTGTAGTTTATGCAAATGCAATAGAAAATCTTACGCAATTGAACTAATTTATAAGATCTATTCCTAATTTCCACTTCATTCCAAGTTAGTATACTTGCACAAGTCAATACGATGCAATTACAATGAAAACTGCAAGAATACTAGCAGAGTTAGAATATCCAATTGTGCCCCAACATGGAATAATTAAAGCTTTGTTTCATGATTATCTTTTGATCAAAGTTACACAGAAGCTTTTAATTGCTGGGACACTACAGTACCGTATTTCACGGTCCAAACCACCCCCCCTGTCGGATTATGCAGATATTTTCATGGTGCATATCGAATTAATTGCTTGTATGTCGCTATGAAACAATCACAATTTTTAAGTTAATGATTGGCTTTCAAACTAACAAACGTTAAATGTCGAATTTTTATTTGAATTTTGACAAACGTTATATATTGAATGTTTATTGGATTTTTTTTTTTGTATTAAGTTAATAATTGGCTTTCACGCTGACAAACGTTAAACATTAACAATTATCAAGTTCTTATTTAATGTTTTTTTTTTATTTGTATTGAGTTGACGATTGGCTTTCAAGCTAACAAACGTTTTTATTTTTATTTTGTCTTTTCGCTATACAATTTTTTAATTTAATAAAGTTTTTTTTATTTTTATATTGCAATTGTATACATTCATGAAGACAATGGATTTCTTTTGCAATTGTGAAGGATCATAAAACAAAAAGAATCTTTTTGTTTTTTTTTTTTTTGGAAATAAAAGTTTGTAAATATTTGAAAATAAAACGGTGGCATTTTTTGTAATTGTAATTGTTTTTGGTGTATATAAATGATGTTTGCGATTATATTTTTCCTGCTAAAAAAAAAAATAGCTATTTTGAGTAATAAAAGTATCTCAAAAGCATGTATAACACAAAAATTAAAAAGAAAGTGGAACTCCCGAGAAAAATTAAATATTATTACTTATCTTAAGGAAAATGAAATAAGCATTAAAGAAGTGTTCAGAAAATTTAATATCCAACCTAAACAATTATGCGATTGGATTCGTAATAAAGAAATGTTAATTAAAGCTTCACTCAATACTTTTAAACTACATAATGGATGCTTGCCCTACTGTTTACAAATTGAAGAAACCTTATATCATTGGATTACGGAACAATGTTAATTACAAAATCCCATTATCCGAGAATTGGTAACTGTAAAGGCAGCCTCACTTACTCAAGATACGGCATTTCAAAATCTTCCGGGTATTGAATCGTTCAAATTTTCAAATAATTGGCTTGATGGTTTCTTAGAACGCTATAATCTATCAATCTGTTGCCAAACTACCATTTCACAGCAATTACCAGAAGATCTAGAGGAAAAAAGACAAAATTTTCTTAATTATGTTTTAAATTCCCGTATTCAATATAATTATCCCTTGTTTCTTATTGGTAATATGGATGAAACGCCTCTTACATTTGATTTACCAAATCCCTCAACAATTGAAAGGCATAGTACTCATACTATTAGTATTCATACCTCAAGTAATGAAAAAAAAATTTTACCGTTGTTCTCAGATGTATGGCTGATGGAACGAAACTACCTGCGGTCTGCATATTCAAGAGAAAAACTATACCTCAAGGAAACTATCCAAGAAATGTGTTTGTTCATGCTAACAAAAAAGGTTGGGTAAATAAAATAGAAATACTGTGTTGGATCAATAATCTATGGGCTAGAAGATCACCTAATAATCTGAATTCTCTTTTAATTCTTGATTCCTTCCATGCACACATAATGGATTCGATAAAACAAGATTTTTGTTTTAATAATACTAATATAGCGGTGATTCTTAGTAGACTAACATCTAAATTACAACCATTAGATGTTAGTATTAATAAGAGTTTTAAAGCAAGAGTCCGTGCACATTATAATCATTGGTTAGTAGAAACAATCCATAAATTAACTCCTTCAGAGCATATTAGGCGGCCTTTATATTCTCTTTGTTCAGTGGGTAGGAACTGCATGGGATTCACTTGAACCAGATTTAATTAAGCGTTCATTTAGTTGTTGTAGAATTTAATAGATCAATAGATCTTATCTGTTATAGATCGAAAAAATTTTTTTCATCATATCGATATCAATAAATAGATGTAGTATAATAGGCAATGTTACACATAATATAGTATAATAAATATATTATGCATCCGCATGCACCATAAAAAATTTCCGTATTATCTGGCAATTATTTTACAAGGGGTGGTTTGGTCCGCAAAATACGGTAATTCGCTAGCCATTTAGTAATTGTCATTATTGATCTATATTATAATACTAACTAATTTTGATTAATCAAAAATGACACTTCAAACAATTACTATTGATGCAGGAAATAGACATCAGATTTACTGTAGTATCTAACTATTACTGAACTTGATGTATTTATGAGAAATTAATAATTTTTTCAATAGAAATTACCAAAACATCGATTTTTCATAAAGTAGCTTCAGAAACTTCACCAAATACTTTATTTTTTTGCATATAACTCATTTTCGCATATTGTATTTTTTATTTATTTGGATCATCTTCAAAATCCTCAAGAGAAGTATTCAAGAAAAATATTGCACTTGAAATTTAATTCATTCTTCATATTTATTTTATTAATTTATTAAATAACGATAGCTATCGTACCATCTCTTTTAAAGATATTACCTGGTTTTATCAGATTTGATAAATAATTTATAATGAATCAAAGTTTGTTAAGAATATAATAAAATACGTATTATTTGAATCAATGTTAAGAAATTGGCTTATACTAGGAAATCAGAATTTGATAAAAGTCTGAAGCAAAAAATCTGAAGATTAGAATTACTAAATCCCAATTACAATTTGCTATATTTAATAATATATGGGATCTTCACTAAAAAATAACCATCTGGATCTATAGAAATTTAATAAAGTAATAAATAAAAAGTCATTTCTTATTTTATAAGCTCACTAAAAATTTATATAATAAAAAACATATTCAAATTGAATTCTTGGATAGATAATAAATTTAGTTATTCAAATATGCGTAATTCTAGAGAATCATTTTTTTCTAATGATCTTTTATTATTAACACCCTAGAAAGTCTCATCCTTAAGTGTGAAACACAAACTTACTGAATTTGCATTTTTGCTCCTATTTGATGCCACCTAATTCTATTCAAAAAAACCTTGCATCTAACGGCAGCTCTTACAAAACCATCTATAAAAGGCTAATTGACAAATTAGTATGTAGTCATGCATGAGAAAACTGATTTTGCTTTTAGTTTATTTGCCAATAAACCTATATACTTTGTATCCCTGATATAAAAAATGATCGGTTCAATAATGATAAATAAAGTATCGATATATAAAAAAGTTAATTTTTGACTTCAACCAAACAGCATTTATATAACCTTATTGCGAAATTATGCATCTAATAAATATACAAATTAGAAAAACTTACTATTGTGTTTTTATATTTATTTTTAAAAAAGGTTAACTGTGTCACTAGGCACCAGTTCATAATATAAAAATCAATTAATTAAATTTATGTGGCCTAATCTATATTAATAGTGCTTAAATTTTTATTATAAATAGCTTCATCACTATGAACTTGTTGTAAAAACACTTTTATATCAACAATATCAACCGAAGGACTGAGTATATTAGTAAGTTCACTTTTACCTAATAAGATTTAGATTAAAGAGCTCAGACTATAAAAAAGTGTTGTTTTCGGGTTTGGGTCAAAATCCCGACAAGCGAAATCCCGACAGGTCATAATCCCGACAAAAAAAATCCCAACAGCAAAAATCCCGACAGGCAAAAATCCGACAGTTAAAAATCCCGACAATTAAAATTCTGAAAATATATCATAAATCATAGCTAACCTTTATATAAAGTGATCTAACCCTAAAGTTAATTAAATTATAAGAGTTTGCTTCGCTTTAAACATACTCCATACTGGGATTTTCTACTTGAGAATTCTGACTGTCGGGATTTTTAATTGTCGGGATTTTGACTGTCGGTATTTTTTTGTCGGGATTATGCCTTGTCTGGATTGTGCTTGTCGAGATTTTGACCGGCACTCTACAATAAAATGCTTGCACATAATAGCCCAAAAGAATCTTTATAACCATCGGATGTAGACAATTATCAGTCAACTGTGAGGATTTTCAAATACAATAAAAGAGACGCGCATTATCACTGGCATACGCAATTTCAACCATATTTGTAATTTACTCCTTGCATATTTTGGATTCAAAAACATATAAATCGTAACATTAAAGACAAAACATCGCTGGGTTTAAAACTCGTACTAGTAATAACGATAAGCATCCAAAATAAATTTTATACTGTATGTATAAAAACAATTTGTATTATTTTTTTCAGAATTGGCCAAGAAAAA